CTTCACTCAAAAAGAATTGATCTTGTCATTTGGGAGTTGTAGTTGCTGGGATTTATAGTTCACCTATAATCAAAGAGCATTCTGAACTCGAATTGGACGACTAGGACTGACAGGACTGACAAAATGGAATTGGAATTTGGACTATGAGATGGCGAACGCTGAGCGTTAATTAGGTGAAATCGGTTTTATTGGTTTTATTGTTGCAGTGCAGAAACTGATTGTTAATTGTTTAATTGCTGCTATATTGTTTTTATTCTACTGTTATGTTGATGCCGGCATCGAATTGTGCCTTTGTAAGCCGCCCTGAGTCCCCCTCTGGGGTGAGAAGTAACCAAAATAAATAATAATAATAAATAACTCCGTCAACGATGGAATTGAACCAAACTTGGTACACAGAACTCCCACAACCAACAGAAAATACTGGAAGGGTTTGGTGGGCATTGACCTTGAGTTTGGGAGTTGTAGTTCACCTACATTCAGCAGCGTAGAGGCACCATTTGCACCCCTGCTTTCCTGAAGGGAGACCTCAACTATCTGGGCGCTGTGAAGTAGACTCAAACAAGGATGGAACTGGACCAAACTCTATACAAATACTCAATATGCCAAATGTGAACACTGGTGGAGTTTGGGGAAAATAGAATCTTGACATTTGGGAGTTGTAGTTCCTGGAATTTGTAGTTCACCTACAATCACAGAGCATTCTGAATCCCACAAATGAACCTCCCACACAGAACCCCCATGACCACCAGAGTAAGCCACAACAACGTGTGGCAGGGGACAGCTAGTCTATCTATATAAATAATAATATAATATTCGTTTGTGGGATTAACATAACTCAAAAACCACTGGATGAATTGACACCAGATTTGGGCACAAGACGCCTACTACCCCAAGGAGTGACCATCACTAAAAAAAAAATGGGTTTTGTCATTTGGTATTTGTAGTTGCTGGGGTTTAAAGTTAATCTACAATCAAAGAGCATTCTGAACCCCAACAATGATGGAATTGAACCAAACTTGGGACATAGGATTCCCACAACCAACAGAAAATTCTGGAAGTGTTTGCTGGGCATTGACCTTGAGTTTAGGAGTTGTAGTTCACCCCGGCCCAAATTACCTGTCCAAACGCATCTCCCTCTATGTACCATCACAGAGATTAA